GTGTGTGTGTGTGCAGTGTGGTGTTTGTGTATGCGTATAGACACAGGGTTATGTTAGTGTGTGTGCATCTTTATATACACACCGGGGGGGGATATACACAGGGGTGTCTATGTACAGACACAGGCACACTCCCCTGTGTGCACACACACACTCTGACAGATTTCCCTGGGTATTTTTAGATATATATATACACACCCCTACACACTCATCTGGAGTCACCCCCCACCCCCACCACTCCTGCTGCTGCTGCACAACAGCCCCAGCCAGGAGGGGCGACAGCCGCCACGGGCAGTGACAGCCACAGCGTGGGTGACAGCACGGGACACGGGGACAGCAGCCCCCACCGCCCCTGCTTTACACCCCTCCGAAAGGCCGGGCAGCTCTGACTCAACAGAAGACACGCGCAGCATTGTTGGCACGATCAGTGATGCTCCAGAACAAAAAGTCCTGCCTTTGGCTGAAGGCGAGGAAAACACCGACATCTGGTTATTGCTTCTAAAGGATCAGATAAGCTACTCCGTCTTTTAACTGTTTTCTTCCAGAAAAAATCTAACATGTCTCTCCAAAAGCATCTCTGAGATTTCTCGTCAAGGCCAATTAATCACCTGGAGGGCTTTGTAAAACAACAGGAAAGAAAAACCTTTGTGCTGGTCAAATCTTGACATTCCTGGTTGTACCTCGGCAGGAGACCCCGGCACCTTATTTTCTGTAAGTTGACATGAAACGTGTTAAGAACTGACTTCAGGGAAGCGTATCGAGCCCGGGAGCAGCGCCCAGAGCAGAGCTACAGGCACAGGAGGAGGACGTGTCCCCCTCCCTGCACCCAGAGCTGCTGCTGGCCCCACGGGGGGGTGACATGGGGCAGGACAGCGTCCCTGTGAGCCACTCCGCAAACACAAACCACCCAGCGACCAGTGCACATCGCCTTTTATTCAAAAGCTGTAAAAATAAGCTCTAAACCGTTTCCAAGTTTGGCTTCGGCAGAGAGAAGATGAATCGGAACAGACATTGGCAACAACAGGGGTGGATGATCCAGCAACGTTCCAGCAGCCCGGAGAGAAACGGGCTCAGACCCCCGGTAAAGCCGCAGTGTTCCCAGCACAGCCGAGGCAAGGAAAGGCGAGCTCTGCCGTCCCTTGTGCCCTTCCTGCTGCATTTCAAACGAAGGCTCAGCTCTTGGTCACCGGAGAGTCCCCAAAACTGTGCGGAGACAGGGATGTTCCACTGGAGACATCCCACCAAGCAGAGGGACAGCGCGGGTGGGGTTTAAATACGCTTTTGTGTCTGGCAAGGGAAGATCTAGGTGCTCCCGAGGAGGCACGGCACAGGGTGGCTACTGGTTTGGCTGTCCCGCCTTGTGGCACGGTCCCAGAACCGGGCTCCAGTTTGGCGTGGAGGCACCCACTGCCACTGAGTGGGGACAAGGAATTGGAGCTGGGAGGGCCCCAGCAGGGCTCGGGGTTCCTCGGGCAGAGCAGGCCGGAAAGCTGACCCGGGGGAAACACCTCGCTCTTCAGGAGCACGAGGTTGAGGATGACTGCTGCTCCCGGAGAGCCTCGTGTTGCTCCCGGGCGGCTCGCAGCCCTCAGCCCAGGGCATCACAGCATGCGAGTCATGACCATCGTGAGGAAGTCCTCGTAGCTCAGCCGCACGTTGCCCACCAGCCCCGTGTCCTTCTCGCGGAAGGCATCGGTCGTGCTCTGGAGCTGCATGCAGATCTGAATGAAGCGGTCGAGCTGGATGCTGGGGTTGGAGGATCGCTGGGCGTAGCGGGCCAGCAGCAGCTGGCTAAACTGGGGGCTCAGGTTGTAGCCCATCTGGGAGAAAGCTGGGAGCAATAAACACTCGGGTTAAACCCTCCCAACGGGAGGGAAAGCGACTGTGCCCTCCCTCCTGTGCGCTGGCAAACACCCCATCTCCCACCGCCCCGTGGTATTCACAGGCAGGGCTCTCCGGAGGGAGGAACCGAACCAAGGCACGAATTCCAGACATTTTTCCTCTCCATCAGACACACACGCCCAAGAGTTCCTCCCAGAAAACAGGCCTTAGCCACATGCCATTTAGGGAGGAGACATTTTGGGTTTCCTTAAGGAAGTTCATGCCACAGCCCTGCTGCAGCTCCTCATCTCTTGCCCCATGGGAACGCTCAGCATCAGCTCTGCCACGGCCAGTTCAGCCAGCCCAGCGTGCCCCAGCGCAGCAGAAGGCGTGGACTGCAGCCACGGCTGCGTGGGAGGCACCCCAGGAGCTCAGAGACACCCTGGGCTGGAAATAAACACCAAGCAGAGGCAGACAGCGCTCCCCGGGGAGCTCGGTAAGGGCCAGGTTGGTGTCTCTGCCCCTCGCCCACCTTGCTGGAGCTCGTTGAAGCTAATGGAGCCTGACTGGTCCCTGTCGTACTGCTGGAAGAGATTCCTCCACTGCTGGATGAAGCGCAGCAAGGCTGAGAAGCCATACACGTCTATCCGTCCCGATTTGGTCTTATCAAACATGTCTGGGGAGGAAGCAGGGCAGTGAGGAGCGGAGCAAGGACACGCTGCAGAAACTCCCAGAGAGTTCAGGACCTGCACCACAGCTCCCCAGCACCCGGCTCTGGCCCCGAAAGCCCATCCTCACCAGGGCTGTGATCAACAAGGACCATTCAATCTCCCAGAGGCTGGCAGGAAACGGCCCCAAAATCCAATGCTGGGGCAAGCAAGGGAATGGGGCGACTCTGGCTTGCTCCTGGAGCTCTCTCTCCCTTTGCTCCCTGGCTCTCTGGGAGCGGGGACTTCCTCAGCCTCACGCAGAGCTGGATTCCCTTTCCCAAGCAGTGTTTTGGGCCCCTGACTTGTGTCCCCCACCCAAAGGGTGCTTGGAGCTGCTCATTTTGCCCAGCTCTCGCTCCAGAGAGCCCTTACAGGCCAGCTGCTCAGGTAAGGGATGCTCAGGTAAGAGGGGAACGCAGGCTGGGCTGAGCTTCACCCCGACAGAGTCTCCTCTCAGAGAGATCAGAATAAAAAGCAGGGGGAGGGCAGGCAGAGCCCAGACTCACTTATCATCAGCAGGCAGGTCTCATCATTGAACGTCGACCAGTTGGAGTTGACCAGCGCCTGCTTCAGCTCCTTCGCAGAGATGTACCCACTGTGATCCGCATCGACCGACTGGAACCAGGAGAAGGCCTCTGGGTCCACACCCGGGGGGGCATTACCTGCGCGGGGAGAGGCCATCAGCGGCTCTCACCTCCCCTCAGAGAGGCCACTGGCTGCTCGGTCCCCGGGGACGGCGCACGGAGACGCGGCCAACACCCAGCGATCGGTCAGCACTTCTGCTCTAAGCAGCTTTCCGCAGCCAGGCAATCCTGGGGAAACAGGTTAGCAAAGCCCAGGGCTCGGCACCTCCCGTCTGGCGGCAGAGACAGGGAAGTGAATCAGAGCCCTGGCGCAGCTCGGGACCGCAGAGCGATCCGTGGGGCTGCCGCCCCATAAA